GCGGACCCCGCGGCCAGCGCTGGTATCCCGGATCTAGGACCCGGTCGGGGTGGGGGGCCGCGGGTCGTCCCGGCTTCTGCGTGGCACCGAGCCCCGCCTCTCCGAGTTTGCCCTCCTCCCTTCAGTTTGACTTCCTGGAGGTGGGATGAGGAGCTGCCCCTCCCGCTCCGGTCCCCAGCGCACACCCGACGGCGTCACGTCGGACCACGCGGGGGAGACAGGGCCGACAGGTCTGAGACCGGGGGAGACGGGAGAAGAGTGAGGATTTTTCTGTAGGAAGCGGGGTCCTGGACTCCTCTCACCTGCGGGGTGCAGAGGTATCTGCAACTAGGATAGTATCCCAGACCAAGCAGAAGCGGGCTAACGAAAGAGGTAGGGTGCCGGGTTGGCCTTGCCAGGCCAGCTGGAGACCCGCGCCGCGAAAGCCCCCTACCGCTCCGGCAGCCGCCCACTCTCCCTGACCAGGTCCGCGGAGTACACTCCTGGGTCTTTAAGAGGCGGGGTCTGCTCTCAACGCGCCTGATTGCGTCATTATCGTGCGCCTCGGGCCTTGGTCTCCACGTGGGTTCAGTAGAGAAACCCGGGACTGGGGGATCATGGCGGGAGCTGAGACTGGGGACGCGGTAGGAGCCGAGGCCCCGCAGCCCCAGAAGCGCTACTATCGGCAACGTGCTCACTCCAACCCCATGGCTGACCACACGCTGCGCTAGTGAGTGAGCAGGGCGGGGGGGGGAAGGGAGCAGGGGGAGGCAAGAGGAAGGCGGAATATTCCAGTCCGAAAGGGCTGTTGTTCTGGACCGTCTGCAGGGTCTCAGACCGACCAGGGAGGCTCGGCAGGGTGACGTCAGCTTTAGAGGTGGGTCGGGGAGATTTAGGGGAGGGCGGAGTTGGAGGGTTGGGAGGGGGCGTGGCGTTCTGCCCGAAGTCTCGGTAGGGGTGCAAGTCTGGGAAGAGAGTAACTTAGACTGGAGTGTTGCGGGCAGAATGTCGTTTCCACCTTTCGGTTTCGTTGATCGGATTTAATAAAAAGACAAACATACACACAAATCCCGCCCACGCCTTAGTCCATCCTCTTCCCACAGAGCACATAAACAGTGTAAGGTCCCAGTGCCTTAGGCAGCCAATCTCTGGGGGAAAGGAACTTGTGACCCAGAAAGGAGAGCTGCCTGACCAGAGTCACATCGACTCCTAGAAGTGGAGATGGGCAGGTCAGCAATATGAGCCTCATGATGGGCCTGTGATTCACACTGGGGGTTAAGGGTGGTTTCCACTGTGTTTCCTAGAGACCACAGGGCCCACTTTTACAGAATTTTTGAGAATCGCTCTTCCCATTTACCTCCCACCCTTACCCATCCGCCCACTCACACGTAGTACCACTTCCGCAATGGCTTGACCAACCTTCTCATGTCCCTCATGTCTTCTCTCCAATAGCCCTGTGAAGCCTGAAGAGATGGACTGGTCTGAGCTATACCCAGAGTTCTTCGCTCCACTGACTCAAAATAAGAGCCACGATGACCCAAAGGATAAGAAAGAAAAGAGAGCTCAGGCCCAAGTGGAGTTTGCAGACATAGGCTGTGGCTATGGTGGCCTGTTAGGTAACACTCTGGCCTTTCCTCTAGGGCACAGAGAGGCAATGCCTAGGTTCTGCTACCTCAGCAGGTTTGGTGGGGGCCATTGTTGGCCTTTCCCCTTCGGACCAGACACCAGTGCTGTGACATCAGTGTGGAGAGCCTCCACTTTCTCTGTACTCTGGGTCTGTGGCCTTTGTCCTGGAGAAGGGAGGATGTTGTCTCAAATTCCTCTTAGAACTTGGGTTGTCTTGTCTGGCCCCACCCCTGGCCTCAGTCCCTACTTGAGGCATTTCACCTGCAAGGTACCGGGTCAGTGAGCTGGTCAGCACAAGCGTCAGAGATTAGTCACTGTAGCCAGTGATCCTGAACTGTCTTTCTGAGGGATTCCACCACTCTCCCTCTCCTCCCCCCTCCTTCACCAAAACTCATTGTTTCTGCTCTACTCTCATGTTTTCACGTTCCTCTTGTATTGTCTATATTGTCCCAGCCCTGCATGCCAGGCCACTTCTCTATTTTTAGATTTTCCCATAGAGGTAACAGCATGACAGAGAGAGAAAAACATGGTACTTGGGGGCAGAAAAGCTCAGTTCAAGTTCCAGTTCTGCCTCCTCTTAGCTCTGTGACCTTGGCCATTTCTGACCTCAGTACCCTCATCTTCTCAATTTACCACAGAGCGTAAGGAGGATTAACTGAGACGATGTGTGAAAACACTGAAAACTCGGAAGCACTTAGAAATATACGTGTATCCACGGGCCCTCCCACTTCCAGTCCAGGTGACAGTCTTTGGATCTAAGCCTAACCCTAAGCTTAACCCCCTTCTCCAGCATAGAACCAGCCATCTAGGTATCTCTCCGTCCACACTTGCCATTCCTGATTTTGGGAGTTGCAGAGTGATACTTCCTTTCCTTTCTTGACCCCTTTGCACTTCCTGCAAGTATGAGGTTGACGATTCCATTCCTCTTTCTGTGTCCAGTGGAACTGTCACCGTTGTTCCCAGACACACTGATTCTGGGTCTGGAGATCCGGGTGAAAGTCTCAGACTATGTACAAGACCGGATTCGGGCCCTTCGAGCAGCTCCTGGAGGTGGCTTCCAGAACATCGCCTGTCTCCGTAGCAATGCCATGAAACACCTTCCTAACTTCTTCCGCAAGGGCCAGGTGGGGAGGGGCCCCGGTGGGTTAGGCTGGTAGGCACGTGGGGCACTGAAGCCAGGCTCTCAACCTTGTCGATGCATGTCTGTCTCACAGCTGACAAAGATGTTCTTCCTCTTCCCTGACCCACATTTCAAGCGGACGAAGCACAAGTGGCGAATCATCAGTCCCACGCTGCTGGCAGAATATGCCTACGTGCTTAGAGTCGGGGTGAGTCGGGAGTGGGAGGGAGGGGTGAGTGGCCCATTCGGAGACCTTCCACTAAGAATTCAGTGGGGGTGCATTTAGGACTCACACCACCACTCCCATCATCTCCCTGCTCAAATGCATGCGGCCCCCCGTCTCAGGTGATTTTGCCTCTGCAGGGGCTGGTATACACCATAACTGATGTGCTGGAGCTACATGACTGGATGTGCACCCATTTTGAAAGGCACCCCCTGTTTGAGCGTGTGCCCCTGGAGGAACTGGTAAGTAGGGGGCCTGAGGGGAGTGGTGAAGACGCAGGCCTTTTCCAGAGTGGTTCTGTGTTCTCTGAACCCAGCTCAGTGCCAGGAGGATGGGATGGGAGTCTCAGGGCCAGGGGCCATCTGAAAGGTGGGCAAGGACTTATTGGACCCTTCCTTTTCTCAGAGTGAAGACCCCATTGTGGGACATCTGGGCACCTCAACCGAGGAAGGCAAGAAAGTCTTACGCAACGGAGGCAAGAATTTCCCAGCCATCTTCCGAAGAATACAGGATCCCACCCTCCAGGCAGTGACCCCCAATCCCATCCCCCTGGGCCACTGACGGCCTGCCTTGCCTTAGCTTGACCCCAGGACCTTCCTAGCCGAGACTGCTGGGGCCAAGAGGCGACAGTCTTTCAAAAAAGTTGGGGAACTGCCCAGGCCAGAAGCCTGGGATTCACAACTGACCTCTCATCTTGCCTGTCTACCACCAACAGAAAGCAAAAGAAGCTAACTGGGAAGGTCAAAAGATCTTGGACCAGAAGGGATGTTTGGAAGGGTGTGGGGTCTTGCTCTTCCTTAGCACTTCCTTCTCCTTCTGGGATCTCCTCAGCTGGAGTGAGGAATGCAATTCTCCACTCTCCATCTAAACTGCTTGCTAGACTCAAATTGCCTGTCCACTTGTGTTTACTTGGCAGTCCTGGGGATAACGTGTATACGTGTGCACATGCCCGTGCTGCTCTTTCTCAGGAAAGGGTAGAGCATGTATCACATGCCTTCTCCCATCCCCCATCCTCTCCCTGCCTGAGACTTGACCTGAGGAATCTGCTGTCTTTATTGTTGCTGTCTCTGGAGAGTGCTGGGACGGGGTGGTGGAGACCCTCTCCTTTTTCATGTTGACCTTCGATTCCAGAACTTCAAAGCTAACTGACTGGCACAGAGCCCAGTGGGGGCAGGGTGGGGGAGTGAGGAGCAGAGAACTAAACTGTGCAAGATTCTGAGGCTAAAAGCAAAAATGGGCTGCTGACTAGAAATCCGCCCCCCCAAAGAGGACTGAGTCAGCTGGAGAGTCGGAGCACTCACATAGCCCTTGCACCATCCAAGAGCGCAGAGAAATCTCTGAACTTTTCTAATTTGCATAAGGTTCCTTTGTTTCTGCTTCTGAAGCCCTAGGTTCCCATGGCTGGAAGGACAGGGTTTGTTGACCTAAAAGACCACCCCCTTCTTCCCAAGGAACAAAGATGAAGGCTCCTGGAGCCATTTTAACCCATTAACTCACCTACCATCTGCCCAGTGTCAGGTACAGGAGGTGGGGAAGATGTGGTAGTGCCAGAAAGTTCTGCTCACCTACGGCAAAGGTGCAGCCCCATAAGCCAAGAATATGGAGAAAGCTACAGCTGTGCCTCTTCCCTTCCCGAAGGAGCTGAGGATGGGGAATTCCTGAGGATGGTCCCAAGAGGGCCTGGCTCCCTGAGGAAGTGGGAATACTAGGGACTGACTCTGTACCTCTGTACCCTAAACCTCACCAAAGAGCCTTTCCCAGGAAGAGATCTTTAGGCAGCTGAACTAGGGCACCAGCCCAGAAGGGGGAAACCAAGGCAGACCTCCCTTCCCAAGAGGATCACTGCAACATGAGACCCAAGAGAACTGCCAGGGAACCCCAGCCCCGCCTACTGTGCTAATCCCCAGCTGGACCACTCAGGAGAGGGGATTGGCTGAGGAGCTTGAAGAGGGGGCGTCGCCACCATCTCACCCAAAGGTTAAATAGGGGTTCAGGCAGCAAGCAAGATGCCTGGAGGAAGTGCTCTCCTTCGCCGGTTCCCTGACCCAGACCATGACCCAGACCCTCAAGCTCGCCTCCAGGGTGTTCCATCGTGTCCACTGTGCTCCCAAGCTAGGTGCCTCACTGGGCTCCAGAGGCTCCGACCCCGCGCCCCGGAGCTTGGCGGACATCCCAGGCCCCTCCACGCCAGTCTTCCTTGCTGAACTTTTCTGCAAGGGGGGTCTGTCACGGCTACACGAGCTGCAGGTAGAAGGGGACGTTCCTGGGAATGGAATGCTGGGGAAACTGCCTTTAACAACACCAGAAAGGACAGACTAGTGCAGAAAGTAGGAGGCGGGCCAGTGAGAACAGAGGCCCATGAGTTAGAAACGTTGGGACTGCGGGCGGTGGTTCGAGCTGCGCGGGAGTCCATCCCCACACCCAGCAGAAGAGTACCCTCAAAAAGCGCCTTCTCGCGGTGCGGAAGTCGGGGCCAGGTAGGTCCAGAACAAGTGCGCGGAAGGCAGATACGCATAGTACCTTCCCCTCGCATCTGACTTAAAGCTACAGGCGCTCCTCTTCAGTTAACTGGGGGTTCGTTCTGAGATAGTCCACGAGAGGAGCCTTCAGGGATTTCTTCGCCTCGGCTCAGCCCAGGTGACCTAAGAGAGGTCCTGAATGTCTGCTTTGTGCAGTTCCTCCGCTTTGCCCATCACTCAGACTTCCTAGGGATGGGAAGTGGGGGAAAGAAAAGGAGGAAGGGTTTGCAGCATCAGGGCTATATACTAGCTGGGAGCCACTGAAGAAACAAGCTCCCTCTTGCAAAGCCCAGCCAACACCCTTGACGGACCAAGCTGGAAGTCCCCGGCCCGGGACTCCAGTGTCCACTGTACCCATTCTCCCAGGTGCAGGGCGTTTCGCGCTTCGGGCCTGTGTGGTTGGCCAGCTTCGGGAGGGTGCGCACTGTGTACCTGGCGGCCCCAACACTCGTCGAGCAGCTCTTGCGACAAGAGGGGCCCCGGCCAGAGCGCTGCAGCTTCTCACCCTGGGCAGAGCACCGTCGCCGCCGCCAGCGGGCTTGCGGGCTGCTCACGGCGTGAGTCCTCTCTGGCCCCAAAGCGCAAACGCCCAGCTGCGTCCCTTTCCTGTGGCTGGTCTGGAAACAGTCTGTCTCGGGGTGTGGAGGGAGGTTGGCCTTTTCCCCCAACCGTCTGATAAATTGGGCTTCCCACCCCAGCCTGTTTTCGTTCAGGCTCAGGTAGAACCGCGCCTGTCCCCCACCCATCTCCCTGTCTTTGGAGTCCGGAATCCTGGAAATCCGCGGGAGGGGCGAAGGTACCAGGACCTAGATGGAATGTGAGATTCCGTGACTCAAGTTACCCAGGAACCCAGCCCCCCTCCCCCGCCCCGGGGCCAGGAAATGAGCAACGAGGAAGGGGGACGGGAAGTCGGAGCAGGCAGGAGCAGGTTTTTGTACCCCAAGGGAGCAGCCGCAATCCTTTTCCTGGCCACCCCAGCCGAACGCGCTCCATCTTCACCGCCGCCAGCCCCGTCGGGCCGCCTCCACACACCCTCATCCGCCCTGACGCGCCCCCTCTCTGCACACCCGCAGGGAAGGAGAAGAATGGCAGAGGCTCCGCAGCCTCCTGGCACCGCTGCTCCTCCCGCCTCAAGCGGCCGCCCGCTATGCCGGGACCCTGGACGACGTGGTCCACGACCTTGTGCGGCGACTGCGGCACCAACGGGGACGTGGGGCTGGGCCGCCAACCCTGGTTCGGGACGTGGCAGGAGAGTTTTACAAGTTTGGACTAGAAGGTGAGTCCCAAGACAGGGGCAAACGTGGGAGGCCCCTGCCTGGTCTCCCAGTGCCCTGACAGCGCCCCCTCCCGCCCAGGCATAGCTGCGGTGCTCCTGGGTTCCCGCCTGGGCTGCCTGGAGGCCGAAGTGCCCCCAGACACAGAGACCTTCATCCGCGCGGTGGGATCGGTGTTTGTGTCCACGCTGTTGACCATGGCGATGCCTGGCTGGCTTCACCGCCTCGTGCCCGGACCCTGGGGCCGCCTCTGCCGAGACTGGGACCAGATGTTTGCCTTTGGTAAGGCAAGGAAATGAAGTGGGGATAGGGGAACGTAAAGCTGTTCAGGGATGGTGAGGCACCCCTGTACCTTCTCCCCCACACAGCCCAGCAGCACGTGGAGAGGCGAGAGGCTGAGGTAGCTTTGAGGAGCAAGGGAAAGCCTGAGGAGGACATGGGATCTGGGGCACACCTGACCTACTTCCTGTTCCGGGAAGAGTTGCCTGCTCCGTCCATCCTGGGCAATGTGACCGAGCTGCTACTGGCTGGAGTGGACACAGTGAGGTTCTTCTCCATGTTGGGAGCCCCACTTCCAGAGCTTAGCCTCTCCAGTTTCAGGGGCCACTTTGCTGCTGCAGGGGATCCACTATGACCCTTTCGGCCAGCTTGGCTTAACACCTCCTGAGCTCCAGACTGCCTCATATTCTGCCCCCCTTTACTGGGTGTCCACTCTCAACACCTCTGAGGCTCTCAACTGTCCTCTCAGGTATCCAACACACTCTCCTGGGCTCTGTATGAACTCTCTCGGCACCCCGAAGTCCAGAAAGCACTCCACTCTGAGATCACAGCTGCCCTGGGCCCTGGCTCCAGTGCCCACCCCTCAGCTACTGTTCTATCCCAGCTGCCCCTGCTGAAGGCAGTGGTCAAGGAAGTGCTAAGGTGAGGGGACGGAAGAGGAGAAGCTAAAGAAAATGTTGGGAAGGGCTGGGGAAGGAGATGGTAAATGGGAGCAGGGAGAGCGAGCAGAGGAAAATGGTACCTACTCCTGGCCAAGAATGGGTTTGGGCGTAGGAGGCTTGGGGACAAGAGGGAGGCTACAGCCCCCAGCCTCACCTTGCTGCTTCCCTCTTGTTCTGCAATCCAGACTGTACCCTGTGGTACCTGGAAATTCCCGTGTCCCAGACAAAGACGTTCGTGTGGGTGACTATGTTATCCCCCAAAACGTAAGTAGAGCCTATGGGCCCCTTTTGTTAAGCCATCCCTCACAATCTTGGGCCCCATCCTGTTGTCAAACACTCCATATAAGCCCTTCACCTTCCCTTTGGCCTGAATGCCTCTCTCTGGGATGTAACGGGGGCAGTGGAGAAATCATTCCAAAAGTAGCCCCAGAAAACTTACCCCTCACCAACCAGAGCCCACCTTTGCTCCAATCCATATATCCTCTTTTCCATGTCCCTCCCTGCATTCGTGGGCCCAAACTGACAAGTTTATGTTCTTTCCCCATCAGACGCTGGTCACACTGTGTCATTATGCCACTTCAAGGGACCCTGCCCAGTTCCCAGAGCCAAATTCTTTTCGTCCAGCTCGATGGCTGGGGGAAGGTCCAGCCCCCCACCCATTTGCATCTCTTCCCTTTGGCTTTGGCAAGCGCAGCTGCATGGGGAGACGCCTGGCAGAGCTTGAGCTGCACATGGCTTTGGCTCAGGTTAGTGATCTTGACATACCTTCCCCAGACATGAGAGACCCTAACCCTCTAAAGCCGTGAGCTCTTCTGACAAGCATCGCAAAATATATGGCTTGGTAAACCTAATCCTCTGAAATAACAGCAATCCTGTTTTAAGTCTACAGAGTGAGCAAGGGTATTTGGACTATTCCCCCCCACTCCCCCGCCATAATACCTTAAGAAATTCCCTACTGACCACAGGTGTCATTTCAATATCGACCTAACACTAACAATACCCTTTACCAATCAAACCCACCATTGTAGACCCCTCCCAAAGTGATAGCTTTCTTCCTCCCTTTCCAGATCTTGACCCACTTTGAGGTGAAGCCTGAGCCAGGTGCTGCCCCAATCCGACCCATGACCCGGACTGTCCTGGTACCCGAGAGGAGCATCAACCTACAGTTTGTGGACAGATAGTCCCATGGAAGGAGGCTATCATCATCACCCTTTCTCTCATTGTAGGGATTTATTAGGCACAAGACCAAGAGATATGTATTCCCCCTGAGACCTGTCTATTTGACCAGACTGGTTAGAAGGACACTAGCAAACTGCTTGAGGCAGCCCTGACCAAGGTGTGAAATATGCCTGGGCCTGACCCATCAGGCCCTGTGAAAACCATAGTCCCTCTGCCTACTCAGCTTTTCTCCTGGTCTTATCATATGCATCCTCCAAGGGCCAGCTTAGATCTTAATAATGTTGGGTGGCCTGAGGAAGGATTCAACCACTGCCCTTTTGGGGCTTGCACAGTGTTCAGGAGCTGCTGGGTAAGCACTTATCACCACGTGAGCTCAGTAATTATGCATTTGGTCTGCACCTGGTTGGTCTTTCCTTCTTGCATGTGAGCTCTTTGAGAGGAAGAATGAGACCTTATTCAGTCTTTATATCCCGCAATTGGGTGATGCCATACAGGTTCTCAAATTGAATCTGGACCATGTGGCAGAAGGGATAAGCAGCTTACCAGCCTCTGTCTACCCTTCTTCTTCCTCATCTTGACCCTGGCAAGGTGAGTCTGCCCTCACTTGGCTTATGATGTTTTAAAACTCTCCTTGACTCTCTGGTCACTATTAGGGGTTCGCTTGTCCCACCATTTAGTCCCTGGGCAGACATCTTTTGGCCTATACCTGCTTAAGCCTTCCTTTTATATATTGGAATTTTTTAATATTCATAGTTTTGAAATAAAAGAATGAAATGTTCCATCCTTGGTTTTTGACTTACTTTTCTTCTACAAGTCCTGGAGGCAAGACCCTCACCAAATCCCCTACTTTGATTTCTCCGATCCTGGGAGTGACCTCCATAACAATGGGAGGTCTAGCCGCCTGGGAGAGTGGTTTGCATCACAAACCCAACACTGTTCTGTCTGTACTGGGAAGAGCCAGAGTCTGGCTCCCTGTAGGAGATTAAGGGGGTGGTGGTGAAAAGTAACACCAAGAGTTAGCCTTTAAAAATGGGTTGGGGAGCTATAGGGATTTGCAGAGATGGCCAGAGGCAACAGACTCTTTGGTGGAAGTGCTTTTGGAACCTGGACTGCCAGGACCAAGGGATATCTGCCCTCTCTGGAAAAGTTGCTCCAAGGTAATTTCCTTCAGAGAAAGACAGGGATACATGCACAGAAGTGAAGTCAGACAGACAGAATGAAAGCCGAGTGTGGGGGTGGCCGGAAGCCCTGGGGCACTGAGGCAGAAGTGGGGAGGGCAGAAGGAGCCTCTGTTTCCCTGAGTCAGCATTCTCTGCCCCCCCCCCCAGAGTCTGGGCACAGTTCTCCCCTTGTGATGTATACGGATTAACTCATCTTCCATACAAATCAATCTCTCAGCGCACTCCCCGCAGCCCCTCCCTAGCCTGGATTACCCTCCCCGTGTCAGGACTTGCCCCCCTGCCTCCTCCTCCTCCACAAGCCTGGCCCCCTGCCCTAGGCAGGGCTCCCTGACCACAGAGGCTGTCTGCCGCTGGGCCTTCCGAGGGCATCTATCTTTGTAAGATGTACAGAGGGGCACAGTACACCCGAGGCCTTGTGCAGAGACCAAGGTTTGTGTGCCCTTACTGCCCCACCTCTCAACTCCTCTATCGTATTCTGTGTCCAACCCCCCCCATCACTAAGCTTAACCTGAACCTAACTGACCTGATTTTTAGCACATCCGAACTTTGAAGGAGAATAAAGCCCAGCTTCCTCTCACACTCTTTCCCCTGGAATCAGTGATGAGAATTCTGTACACCCACATTCCTCACTGGGCAAGTACAACTGATCTACTTATGGAGGGTGGCAGTTCCCATCACCCTTTTGTGACAAGAATCTCTTTAAGTTGGAAAAAGGGAAGGAGAAGGGACCATACTGATTGCTGGTCCCAACCCCTATACCAAGCAAGACCTCCAATGGTACTGAAAGGGAGGGAAACATACTGTCTCGCCTGGCCCAATTTCAGGACCCAGAGTGGAATCAGAGAGGGTGTGTTTGTGTGTGTATGTTCTTTGGTATGTCTAAGCTTCCATGGAGGGCTATCATGAGGGACAGTCCGGGCTTGGCACAAGAAACCCCACCTGTGGTATACCCACCGGTCATATTTGCCAGGATAGGTACTAGTAGTCACTCTGATTTGCTGTCTCCCTTCTGGCCCCCACCAGCTATTTTGTGAATAGCAAATCAGGAAAGTCTGGCCCTTCTGTCTTCCCAGGTGGAGAATATGGAGGGTTGTCTCTCTAGGGAAACGATATCCCACTGGAAAAAAATGGAGCATCTGGCCTCTGTCCCCTCTTTTTGATCTCCTCAGAGGTTAGAAGTGATACACCTCAATACTTCCAGGGACTCAAACCTGAGTCTAGCTTCAGTGAGAACATTCCCAGGCAAGTCTGAGTGCCAGCACCATGGACAGCAGCCAAGACTCCCCCTTTCAGAAAAGGACAAAGGAAGACCATTTCCAGGGCAAGTATGTGTGACCTTTAGTAGAGAAGCATTTCCCCCAAAACATTCCCAGGGAGGAGGCAGAACAGAACCTTCCTGAGAAAAGGACCAATAATAGGAAAGGCGTCTGGATCTGACTTAACAATGTATGAAGTAATTATTTTAATTGCTGATGAATAGTTCACTTAAAAGACACCATCATTCATATAATACACAGCCCCAAGGCCTCAGGAGAAAGGGAGCAGGCCTCAGGTTAACCCACATTTTAACCAGTCCTTCCCAAACCCTTTCTCTATAAACAACAGCCCTCTAAACTGCTGCCTCCAGGCACAATACTTCCCAGTTAATACCACTAGCTGGGGCACAGGTCAGACCTGTAACCCTGAACTGCCATAGGAGCAGCTTAAGCCGGGGTTGGAGATTCATAACATTGGGACATTCTGTCTGTCTCACTTCAAATGAGTCCAGATTCATTTCACACCACTTCCCTGGGTGAGCACATTACCTGGGAAGGACTAATAGAACCCACAAAATCCCCAGAGCAAGAAGGATAGCTCCATCCTTCCCCAGCCCCCAGTGTTTAGGGGGTTGGAGGAGCTCTCATTTTTGCAAATAACCACCATCCTTCACATTTGCAATATCTATTTCCCCTCATATTTCCATTTCTATTATGATACTCAACACAAATTTCCAAGGCTCTGTGCAACTCCAGATGAAAAAACACATTCTGGAATTTGTTAACCAGCTACTATTTGAAATAAATGGACCATCAACTAGTCTAGAAATCTTTTCACGCCATCACTAATTTTCTTTGCAATGGCATTCAACCTGTCCCTCATTTATCCTCATTCCAACCCTATGAGGTAGACAGGAAAACCACGGCGGAGAGATTTTTTTTTTCTTCTAAATCATACAACTTGCAGGTGGCAGGTCAACCCCTTAGATACCTCTGAGCACTGCCACCTAGCAGCCACTGTGAATTATTCGCCAGTAAGTGGGAGTCACACCTCCAACTCAGAACCCACTGCTGCATTTGGGATTTGCAACCTCTGCAGAGAAACCTCCCCACACCTCCCAACCCTCCAGAAAAGCCCCAGATGAGAAAGGAGTCTCCACGTGCATATAAATGATTCTTTATGCCCTCCCCCCATGCAATGGGGGGTGGAGCAGGGGGAGGTCCCCCCGCCCTCATGCAGGGAACGGGAGGTCAATGTATACTAGTCTTATTGCCAGCTGCCCTGTGGCCATGGGGTGGGGAATGGGGGGTCCACAACCCCTTTCTTCTGGCATTGGTCCCCCTTCACCAAGTCACCATGGTGGAGCTGGGGGGCTGGAGGCCCTAGGAGCTGAGGTAAGGACGGTTCTCTAGAGAAGAAAAGGTGCTCTCCCCACCTGCCCACTGGCTGCCCCAGGATGAGTGTGAGGAGCTATCAGTGGGGGCTGGAATGTCATCCAGGTGTCTCTACCCAGTGGGTAGTAGAGGCCAGACAATGTCTCCAGCTTGAGGCTGCCCACAGAGATCCTCAGTGGTGGGGGCAGTGTGCCCCAAACACCTTGTCCAGGTGGTACCTCCAGCAGCCATGACAGGTTATCTCTGGCCGATGCATCGACTCAAGATCCCTGCTCCTGGAGTTCAGTTTCAGACCGTGGTGACCCTCATGACAACCTCTCGGCCAGAATGGGAACTGGAACGGGCATCTGGTGGCCGCAGCTGTCCAAGGAGGTGCAGGATTGTATAACCACAGCGCTGAGGCAAGAGCGTCCGCATGCGCTGGGCAGCCGGGGGGCGGCTGGTGGCCCCAGAGGGGGGGCCCGTCCGTGAGGTCCTGGGGCCCGGCTTCCCTGCTGTCCCTCCCCCTGCATCTCCTCCTATGTCCTTGGTCTTGTCATAATTCAGGACCTTCCACTGCTGGTTCACTGCCTGCCAGCGCTTGAAGATGCGGTAGACAGAGGAGCCTTCATGGACGATGAGGCCTGAGCAAAAGGGAAAAGAAATCCAAGGTCACCTGCTGCCCAGACCTAGGCCCAGAGGTACTTAAGCAAGTATTTCTCCAGAGTGAGGACATGGGGTCTGTAAAAGGCCTGAAGAAGCAGGGAAGGGAGAGGCACCAAGATAGCCTTAAAGGCTCCCAATCGTAGAAAATGTGGCTGTGGAGCTGAGGGAATGGGCAGGGAAGTGTGTGCAGCATGTGTGTGAGCTGGAGGAAGACACTGAGCAGGTAAGGGGGAGAGAGGTGCCCTCACCTATGCAGACGACATCCATGAAGCCATACATGCCGTAGCAGATCTGAAAGAGCAGATCCTGCCGTTGCCACTTGGCTGAAGGGCTGAGTGAGGACCAGATGAGCCAGGAGATACTGGCGACGAGGAAGAGCGAGCCCAGAACTATGGCTGCGATCTGGACCTTCTCGATGACCGTCAGGGAGATGGCCTGCCACTGTGTGGGAGAAAGGGCTCCAAAAAGTCACGGAAAGAGAAGGAGGGCGAGGTGATGAGTGGCCCTGAAGAGGAAGATGCTCGAGAGCCTTCCTGAAACCCTTCAGGCAGTATTAGCAATCTGTCTCTTCTGTGCCCTGATCAAACATAGTATGGAGCACTTTTCACATTGTTTGAGACCATTTGTCTTATTTTAGGAAGGCAGGATCAGGCAAGTGCTCTGACCAGACCATCTAGGTTTGAATTCCAAATCCTAACTCCATCACTTACTTGCTGTGTAACTTTGGGAAAGTTTTTATATCTCTTTGAGCATCAGTGTCCTCATCTTTAAAATGGAGATAATAATGGCACATAACTAATAGGATTATTATGAAAATTAAATGAGTTACTATACACCAAGAGTGTAACACATAGAAAACACACCATGTTTGCTATCATCATCATCTTCTGCTGCTGTTTTTTTTTTTTTTTTTTGCTGTCTCAGTGCCTAGAACAGTGCCTGGAATACAGGTGGGACCCAATAAATGTGAATAAATGAAGGGAGGATTTACAGGGTAGGAGTAACTTTGAGGAAAGATGAAACAGATAAATAGGCTCCCTGGAGAGTCCCTGATTCTGACTACTGAAAGGCCCTTGCCCCCGTCTGGAAGTTCTCTCCTTGCACCTCACCTGCAGCGGGTTCTTGGTGCTGATTGCCAGGACCTGGTACTTGAAGTAGCAGAGCTCACAGCTCCAGGAGCCCCTCTCACTGATCCAGCGGATGAGGCAGGGCTGGTGTGTGCAGCGCA